CCTGCACTCCAGGGAAGCAGGGAACATGACTAGACAGTAGGCAGTTAATAGGCAAATCAACGCAAAGCTCCATGAGGCAAAACAAAACCAAAATAAGCTTCAATTTCATTGTGAGATGGCTGGGATGCCATTGTAGGCTTTGGAGCAGACAGGACATAATTTGAGCTGTTTTAAAATAGCTATCCCAGCTGCAGCAAGAGTGACTGACTACTGAAGTAACGGTAGAAGTCAGAACACCAGTTCTGAGGGATTAGCATGCTCTGTGCAAAGACAATGATGGCCTGAACCAGGATGGCAGGGGGTGAGGAGAGAAAAGGTGAGATCCGTGCCATGCTCTGAAGCCTTTGGCAGCGACAGGCTTGGCTGCTGAGCTGCAGGTGTGGTGAGAGAGGAGACCGAGACGACTCCAAGAACTGGGGACACAAAACGGGTGGAGGAAGTTGATTTTCTGAAAGAGAGAACCCTGCGTGGCAACATCACCAGGAGGCAGGTGGAAAGCAAACCAAGAGGGCTCTTCTGATCATGGCATACTAACTTGGGGTTCCTGGCTCCCAACATTTATTAATAAATATACTGTCACTCTTCCTATGGGTCTGTGTAGGTGACAACGCAGACTCGTAGCTGAGATGGTTTCTGAAGTAGAAACACGCATATCCTAACTCTGACATCCAGAACAAAAAGTACTTACTTGTTTGTATCTCAGTTTCCATACCTGTAAAACCTACTTCCCAGAGTTGTGGTATAGATGAAATGATGTTATGCACATAAAGTGCCGGGAACAGGGCTGAGTGTGCAGGGGATGCCGAGCAAGCCATCTCCGTTATCAGCATTATTCACACTCCGCCATTACTGAGAACCTGCTCGTTACTGGATCATGAAGAACCTGCAGTTCAAGTACAGGGAGACTGCAGGGGACTGACGTGGATGACAACTCAGTGGTGTTTCTGAGAGACCCTACCATTGAGGTGTCACCTCCCCCGGCTCTCTCCCCCGAGCCCTAACCCTGACTCAGTAGCCAGACTCATCCTCTTTCTTTATATTCCCTGCCACTGGAAATATGTTTTTTGCTAGTTATCTATAGCTGTATTGAAAAATTCTCTAAAGCTTAGTGACCTGACAAATATTCTACCTTCTCTGAAAGAAGACATGGTGCAGACACAGCCTGCCACCAGCACCTGCTCAGGATCCCTCCCACCTTTGGCCATAATGCAAGCCTCTCGTCTACCTTACCGTCTAACTTCGCGCTTACGATTTTGTACTTCTGCTGTAATTCTTCCTAATTCTGACCTTCTGCACAACTCTTTTCCCACCATCTTCTGTAATTTTGAATAAATTCTGGTGGATATTGCTTCCTCTCAATCTTCTCCAGAGAGCATTCCCTCAAAGTCTGCGCATGGTGCATCATATTCCCCAACCATGAATTACTCGTACCATTCCTCCTTTGATATCTGGCCACTCAACCCAACCTTTGTATGAGAGAACTCTGGCCACTCTTTCCTATTCACTGGAGTCTTAGACCACCACTCCCCGCCACCCCCCGAACCAAAGTCTCCCAATCAAAGCCTGATCCATGAGTGGAAAACATCACAGTTCAAGTTTTAAGGACTGCAAATACCTCAAGCCCAAAGAATTTGTTCTGTGAATATGTTGTCCCTATTCCTCATCAGTTACCATTCCTTGACCATTTTCTACACCACAGATGACAAATCTGTGGCTTTGTTGCCAGCACATAAGAATCTGACTGGTGAGGGCAGGTGCAGAAGCATCCACCTCTTGATGTGGGCAGTGTCCACAAGTCTGAAGGGTCAGAAGGCCTTTCCACTACAAGCCAAGGCAAACACATACTGGATGTGGGAGAATACTTTCCATGTAGCATGGCAGAAAGTTTCTTAATTTCACATGATTTGTCTTCACACCCTCCATCCTCGTGCTTGGCTCCCAGTAAATGCTTGGTAAGTTTTTAGGTACTTGACAGGAACAGAAGCCAAACAGCAATCTCATCCCCTCTGACTTTAAGCCGCCAATCTTCCCCAGGGAAAATCAGTAGAGACATTTCTGTATATGTCTCCCACCATTATGTCTGGGATAAACAGTATGGATGGATGACAATAAAAGACCCTCTGGACTCTACCTCTGGATTGGAAGACACAGTGGGTCTGTCTGCAGAGCTCTGAAAGCATTCTCTATTAAAAGGAATGTTTCACCTGTGCCCTGTAAAAGGAGCATCTGAATTTGTGTTCCTGTAAAAGATCTGACCTTGAGGAAACAGTTAACAGGCTCGGCAGGAAGCCTGGCTGCTGACAAATGATGAGGCGCTTGGAGGCCTGCAAAGTGCCAGAGAAGGTTGCCAGGGAAATGTTCGGGGTTAAAGGAAAACAGTTCACTCTTATCCCTAAAAGAACAAAAACAGCTTGAAATGAATGTAATTCTGCAGTCATTTTGGAAGTCTTTTCGTAGTAATGTTCTTCAAGACTGTACATATGCTGCACTGTGAAACACTCAGTAGACAGCATTCTTTGTTGATCCACCCATTTCTTTTTTCCTCCTACTCAGACAAAACTGTATTTCCCAGGTCCCTTCCCCCTGCGTGGATCAAATGACTTATTTTAGCCAATGGAGTGCAGGTGGAATTAGTGTAACCCCCTCATGCTGGCTCCTGGAGCCTACCATGAGATCTGCTGAGTCGTCTCTTCATGGCTGGAAGTGAATATGCTGAAATGTGGAATGATACACCCGGAGGGGGGCCAGGAAGCCTGGCTTTGCCGCCAGGAGCAGGGGCCCTCAGGGGAACAGCCATGTCTTGTGTGAGAAATTAACTTTTTATGGTGCTATGCCACAGACCCAGTATGGAGCTGACTGTAAGGACGAATTATCCTGATGTACACAGACATCGTCAAGATTATGAATCACTTAGAAAAATAATGGCTGATGGCTTTCTCTAAAAAAGAAAAACTATATTAGGGACAATTAATGTGAGAGTTACTTATTTGTTAAGTATTTATTCTGTACATTTATTAAGTACTTAAGTATTTAGACTGTAAATACTTTCTACTTTGGAAAATTCACACCTTGTCTGTGCCTGCTTCTCTTTCGCTTATGGCCCATCTAACTCTGACTCATCCTTCAAATAGCAGCTTATATCCTACATCTTCAGAGAAGCATTTCTCTATAGGAGGCTACTCATTATTTATTTGAGTAAATCCAATTCATATCTTTTTGTAGGACTAATTACAACTTTTGACAACGCATATTTCACTGCATGCATTTATAATTCTCCACTAGGTAGTAAGCTCTGTGAGACAGGGATCATGCAGATGGTACTCATTATGGCAGAGCTCACACCCATGATTGTACTAGACTCTAGGGGGGTAGACACATTCTGAATGAATGAGTGAATGAATACATGCAAGGTTGCTAATTTGCATTGCAGAGGAACAAAGATGAATACAGTTTCATGATTAATAGTGAGGTTTAGTCAAGCATAGACAAAAAGATATGACTTAATGCAACTTTTCTAGGAATGAGAAATTGTACTAGTTAGGCTTTCATCTCCATAACACAGCACCTGACACAGGCCTCTAATGAAGGAGGAGACAGACTTATTTAGACCTTGACTCATGTTTCTGCAGGTTCAACGTCCACATAGCATGGTGCGAACGCAGGCTCTGGGCAGGAGCCCGTGATGGATGGCAGGAGGCAGAGTATGTGCACAGGAAGAGGCGAGTGGCAAACCAGGAATTGGGGTGCTGGGAGGGCCAGTTGTGCTGCAGTTTCCCAACACACCTCTAGCTCTCACAAGCCCTCAGGGGCTGCAAGAGCACTGCCTTCCCACAGCACACCAGAGAGATCTGAGAGCCTCCCACCAGGCCCCGCCCTTAAAGTCTCCACCAAACCCCACAACCACCCCCTGGGACAAAGTCTCCAACCACCAACCTTTAGGGAAACCTGCACCATATCAAGCTACAATGAAAGTCAACCTGGAGGAGCCACCAGGGGCCACAGATTGAAACCTTTGAGCAAGAAAGTGAATCACCTGGCACTGAATAATACTTCAAAGTATAAAATAGCCAAGCGTCCATGCTTACATAAAGAAACAGATAAATCCCATATGCAGAAGAATTCCAATTAACTGGTGTAGGTTTGTATCCTCAAGGGAATGGAGCTTAGGAGACAATGCTCTGAGTGTCCTTGCATTCAGTGACCTACTTCCAAAGAGCAGATTAGGGAAAGGGGATTTGAGTGTGCTGGTTTATGGTGGAAAACCTGGAACAAACTACCTCGGTTAGGTCACTGAGGCTAACACCAGTGGTGGTTCTTTTTGAAGAGTAGCCTTGATGTGATGAGATGAGAATAGCACTTCACTTCCGTACCTCCTCCTAAAAACCAGAACGCTCTGGGGCAGGTGTTGTGGTGAAGTGGGTTAAGCTGCTGCTTGGCATACTCGCATCTGATAATGCAGTGCTGGGTTTGAGTCCCTGCTGCTCCACTTCTGACTCAGCTTCCTGCTAATGTGTATCCTGTGAGGCAACTGATAATAGCTCTTGGGGTCCTTGCCACCCATGGGGGAGAGGCAGATGCAATTTCTGTCCTGGTTTCAGCCTGACCCAGCCCTAGCTATTGTGCATATTTGGGAAGGGAACCAATGAATGGAAAACGTTTCTCTTCTTCCTTTTCTTTCTCTGACAGACTACATTTCAAATAAATAAGCATAAGTAAACATTTAAAAAGAGAAATGCAGCCCTGTTCTAATAATGAGAAAAACATTAAGCTACCCAAATTGATGAGTATGCTCTACTAAATTCATCAGAAATAAGAAGGTCTGAAAATGGCTCCTATCCAGGGGGATCCTGCACTACACTTCTGCAGAGGTCATGTATACAACTTACTGTAAGAAACGAGTTCACATGATTGAACACTGGAGTCTCCAAAATCTGATAGCCCGTGCCAGTTCAAGACCAAAGACCAGCAGGCTGTTGGAGAATCAGGAAGAGCTAACATACCAGTTTGAGACCATCAGGCAGCAGAAATTCTCTTCTAGCTGGAAGTCAGTCTTGTAGACTCGGAGCTTCAACCAATGGAGTAAGGTCCTCAAGCAGAATGCTTGACTGTTTCTTTTGTTCAATGTTTCTTCTTTTAATGTTCTTCTTTTAATCTACAAATAACCAGAATAGTGTTTGATCAAACATCTGGCCACTCTGAGAATCAACTTAACGCATAAAGACTGAATGTGATCAGGGATCCTATGTCAGATGCAGGAACGAGAATGAAACATTAGCCAGGACTAAGGATATCCAATCAAGTGCAGACATACTAAAAATAAATGTATCAATATAGGCTGAATTATTAACAAAAATCATTAGAAGAAGCTGGGTAAGAGATATGCAGGATTTTTTTGTACCAACTTTTCAATTATTTGAGAAAACTATTTAAAGTAAAATCTGTATTTTCAAAAAGTGGCCAGAGGACTGGAGTTGTATAGTGGGCAAAGCTGCCCCTTAGGTCAGAGACAACCCATACGCGCCTTGGCTCATGGCCCAGTGGTTCTACCTCTGCGCCACCTCCTTCTAACGGCCTGGAAAACTCAGTGGAAGATGACCCAAATGATTGGGTCCCTGTCACCCATGTGGGAGACCCAGGGGATGCTCTCAGCTCCTAGCTTAAACTAAGCTCAGCCTTGGCTGTGTGGGCCATCTGGGCAGGGGAGCAGCAGGTGGAATGTCTCTTGTCTCTGTTTGAAACAAATGAATAGATCTTTTTTGAAAAGTGACTGCACGGTCAATTAAAAAAAAAGTGTGTATAGAGGCAACATGACAGCAGCTGGTGAGTGGCATTATGCAAGGCTCCGTGGAGGAGGGTGACTTCTGAAGCACACAGCTTGAATGTAGGTGAACACCAAAAAGTGGGAGCCCAGGAATGCCAGATGGGCAGCTATTTGTGCATGAACATCTCCGAACTTGAGACACCAAGCATTAGATCAGAGAGAGTAAGGGAAGGGAATGCAAATGCAGACATTATTGCTGGGGGACAAGGAATCCAGTGTGGAGCCAACTGAGGGAACAGAAAGAAGGCCGTGGCTTTGGATACCAAAAAGTGACTCGGCAAGTTTTAGAAACAGACTGGACATAATAAAGCTAGATTCTGAAGAATTAAAATAATTTTAGATGGTTTAACTTGAATGGCTTGGTGGTGAACCAAAGGAAAGCAAAGCAAAAACAAGAGGAGATTCAAGGGAGAATGAAAGGTTAGACAAGTACTCGGCCAAACTGCAGGGAGACACCAGGTGCGCCTGGTTCTGGAAGGTGCTGGAGTCCTAGAGGAAGCAAACTCAAGAACCAGTGCAGCCTCACGAGGCTGAGGTCATCAAGTAGAGAACAGCCGCTCCCAGAAGGCGCAAGCGTGACTGCGATGAACAGTCCTCTCACATAATTCCAACTTCTGGAAGACTGTGAATGTTCTCACAAAACGTGCTAACTTTTTTGAGATTATGGATGACCTAAGTGTCACAAATCCATCAAGACCTAATGTATAATACCACATTAAATATATAAAATGTATACTATATAATGCCACACCATACATAAAATGTATGGTTTATTAAAAAATAGAATGGAGGAATACAGTGTAGTGTTTACACATTAGGATACTCAACAATGTAATGGGATAAACTTTCACTTCATGTAACAAGAGTGAATCTCAACAGACACAATTTGGAGAGAAGCCAAACATGAAAGTGTATGACTGTATACACTCAGAAGCTCCTGGATTCTGGCTTAGGATTAGCTCAGCTCTGGCCACTGCAGCTATGTGGGGAGTGAATCAACAGTTGGAAGATCCTTGTGTCTGTTTCTCCTTGTCTCTATAAATCTGCCTTTCAACAAAAATAAATAAAATTTGAAAAAAACAAGAAATAAATAGGAATGCATTTTATAACTTATACACATTCAATCAAAAGAGGTAGTGAGTCATGTGGAAAAGCAGTCCAGTTGGGTTGAGATACCAACTCCCCTCCATGAGCTCCAGATTGCCATCAAGTGTGTCATCTTCCCACAGGTCCTGTTCGCCACCTATGTGCCCCAGGGCAAGCTGCGGCCTGGCTAGAGTCCCCAGGAGTGGGGATCTGGGTTGGCCTCTGGACTGCTTTGACAGGGACAAAGCTTTGCTTCTGTCTCACACACCTCTCTGTCCCATCAGGTGAAGAAACAACTTGCCCTTCGTGGTGACGGTTTCCCTGACCCTCTCACACATGGATCTGGTGCACTTTCTTCCCCAAGATGCCTTCACTTTCCCCTCCTATTTATGGAGGGTTTACCTGGTGAGAAGTGGTAAGATGGGGCAGGCAGTGGATGTTCAGCTCCTGTCGAGTGATTATCACTAACTCTGCCCCTTGGTCCTCTATATACAGAGTCTGAGGGATCATCTTCGATTGTCTGCATAACCCCGTCAGGAGGAAGCTCTCTGGAGCTTTACCTCTTGTGATACTACAAAAATCTCCACCTGCCTGGAAATGCCACACAGCCCTTCTTCCTGGGGGTTCGTTCTGCCTCCATAAGGCTCCACTCTGAACATCTGACCCTAGCCCCTCCAGTGGCCAAGAGTGCCTGGGGCTGAGTGAGGTAGCCAGAGCAGGGAATGTCTGTACACCCTAGCCTTTTTCCTCTAGCAGTTTCTCTCAAAACTTTCCCCTACCTCTTGCCCAGAGCATTTTCTTAGTCCTTGGAACAAACCCAGCTAACATGTTTTCTCCACAATCCTTTTTCCAAATCTTTAGGCCTCTGCTTTTCTCTCTAAAGGCTAGGATGTCAGAATTCTCCATCTTCTGCCCCCACCCCACTCCTGCCCATCCTGTGTGTGTGTGTGTGCACCTCTCTCTCTCTCTCTCTCTCTCTCTCTCTTTCACACACACACACAACACTCTTGTATCACTTTCACTCTCTCTGCTTACTCTTTCTTTGGAAAATGAATACAGGGCTAGGCACGATGGCTGGGTCCTCACCTTGTAAGTGCTGAGACCCCATGTGGTATTCCAGCTGCTCCACTTCCCATCCAACTCCCTGCTTGTGGCCTGGGAAAACAGTAAAAGCTGATCCAGAGCTTTGGGGACCCGAAAGAAGTTCCTGGCTTTGGATTGGCTCAGCTCCAGAAGTTGCAGCCATTGGGGGAGTGAACCAGTGGGAAGATTTCTCTGTCTCTCCTCTCTGTAACTCTAACTTTCCAATAAAAACAATTTAAAAAATATTTTTTTTAAATGAAGACAGTGGAGGCCGGCATGGTAGCCTAGTGGCTAAAGTTCTCACCTTGCATGTGCCGGGATTCCATATGGGTGCCGGTTCATATCCTGGCAGCTCTACTTCCTACCCAGCTCTCTGCCTGTGGCTTGGGAAAGCAGTCGAGAATGGCCCAAGGCCTTGGGACCCTGCACCCATGTGGGAGACCTGAAGGAGGCTCCAGGCTCCTGGCTTTGGATCAGCTCAGCTCCAGCCATTGAGGACACTTGGGGAGTAAATCAACTGACAGAACTTTCTGTCTCTCCTCCTCTCTGTATATCTGCCTTTCCGATAAAAATAAATCTTAAAAAAAAAAATGAAGACAGTCTGTTGGCTCTCTGAACCAGATGAAGATTAAAAGGTACATGAAAATGTCATGGGAGAAATGCTGGTTACACATTCTACAGCAACATGATGTCATGTAAAAATCTCAGCAATAATGGGTGTAAAACTCTGAGTGTTGTGTCCAGTGCATTATAAATTCCCAATATACTATGGCCATGTTAGCTTGATATATACTTAGATATCCCCCGCCTCCGTTTTCTAGAAGATAGCATCAGTGAGAGTAGCTATTAGGCCTTTGGAACAACACACGGCATGCAACACTAGTTACTACAAGGAATTCCTTGATTCATCTGAATCTAAATGCAGGAAAAAAGGAAAAGCAATACTATCCCTGGGATTGCAGGAAGGGCAGATTCGGAGACCCAAGATCCCAGGCATGTTTCAAAAAAGTAGCAACAAAGTCAGACCTCTTCTAGTCTCTAGGGTCCCAAGGCTTTCTCCTGCATTTGCCTTCAGTTGTTATAACACAGGTTGTATTCCTTTTCCTAATAAGAGCAAGCCCAAGCCGCCTTCTCTGACCACATTGAAGATGGCTCACTCTCTCATTTACATTATTGCTTCAACGATCTCCTCTTTTACTAGTTCATTCCCATTAGCATAAATACATTTGATTTCTCAGTTTGCAGCATGCTCGCATGTGCACACACACACTCTCACACTCACCCACACAGAGGCCCATAATCTCATCCTCCTGGGGTGACTGCCTCATTTCTTTACTCCCTTGCAAAGGAAAGCTTTCAGACAGAGCTGTCTAGTAACGCTGCCTCCACTTTACCCGTGTGCAGCCCGCTCCAATCTGGCTTCTGCCACCAACAGCAAACTGAAAGCACTTTGTCATGTCACAAATGAATTCATTTTGCCGCAAACATTGGACACTTTTCTATGTCATCTTCTCTTTCCTCAAGTATTTGAGAAGACCGGTGGTTCCTTCTTGAAGCACTCTCCCCTCCCGGAAGCTGGGGCACACTACTGCTATCCTGTTTGGCAGGCTCCTTTCCTTGGAGTTTGGTTTAGGACTCTTCTTTTTCTTGAATATCTGCCCTGGATAATCTCACTAATTTCCACAACTTTGAATACACTCCATCTGCTGCTTCCAGATTCACACACTCACATATCCATTAGCCTCCTGGACATCTCAGTTTGCACATCCCAATATTTCAAATGCAGCTGATGGAAATGGCATTCTGAGATTCCACACACCTGCCTTCCTCTCTCAGAGGTCTCCCGATCATGGTCCCTCTGCTCATCAAGCGAGTAACCTTGGAACCACCTTTGGCATCCCTACAACCAAGGTGCCACTACCAACAGCTGATTCTGTTTCTGAAAAACACACCAGTTTCCTCTGGTTCTGTTAATGTATTTGGTCATCATCCTGGTCCACGCCACATCAGCTACGGCCCTAAGGAGACACTCCTAACCTGCCTCCTCGGACACATTCTGTCTGCTCCCCAACGTGTTCTCCTAATAACATCCTTCCAGTCATTCCCAATTGTCACCCAGAACCCAGCTATACTGCGAGGATGGAGAGCAAAGGAGCTGCTTTTGAGCTGTATATATAAGGAGGAGGAACTCAAGAATGGAGGAGGAGAAATCAAGAGTGATGACGGTTGCTAGAGCGACTTGGCTGTTGTCAGGCTGGGGAAGTTCGGGTCAGGTGCAGCTTTGGCCTGTAGGGCAGAGTGCCTTTCATGAGTTGTTTTTGGTAAGCAGGGGTGTACTATAGTTGTACAGGAATAATTAACATAGTTTTGGATGAAACAAGGTAGAATATCACAAAGCAAATTTTCGAAGAAAGGTTTTGCACTGTGTTCAAGACTCATATAGTGTCCTAATGGAAAGCTCCTTTTGTTGGATACAGAATCTAAAATCTTAGGGCTGGCATGGTGGCACAATCCTCTGCCTGTTGTGCCAGCATTCTATATGGGACCTGATAGTCCTGGCAGCTCCACTGGCAATCCAGCTCCCTGCTTGGGGCCTGGGAGGAAAGTGGAAGATGGCTTGAGTCCTTGGGACCCTGCACTTGTGTGGAAGACCTGGAAGAAGCTCCTGACTCTGGCTTCAGGTTGGCTCAGTTCCAGCTATGTGGGCATTTGGGGAGTGAACCAGCAGATGGAAGACCTTTCTCTCTCTGTCCCTTCTCTCTGAAAAGCTGCCTTTCAAATAAACAAATAAATTAGATCTTTTAGAAATTAACAAAAGAAAACCTGAAGCATAGATCTGAGTCATTGCTGAGACTACAAAGTACAGAAAAGGGAAAACAGCACACGGAGACTTCCAGAAAATTGTCACATTTTTAATCCTAAATAGAATAATAAATTCACTCTGATAGAGGAAATTTTAGAATGCTTAAGTAACTAATTAATTCATTAATTTACCAAGGAGAAAAGGAAAGGGGGGAGGGAGATACAGAGAATTAGTGTCTTCCATTTGCGGGTTCGCTGCCTGAATGGGTGCAATGGCAGGAGCTGGTCTCCCATGAGGATAGCAGGGGACCAAGGACTTAGGCCATCCTCTGCTAACTTTCCAGGTACTTCTGAAGAAAGCCAGATCTTAGTGCAGCAGCCAGGACTCGACGCCGTGGTCTGATCTGAGATGCTGGCATTGCAAGCAGGGACTTTGTCGGCTGTCCGGGAGCACTGGCTCAGGGCTCTGAGCATCAGCCTGGCCTCTCCCCAGAAAGCCAGGACTGCCTTCCCAGCTGTGACAGTTAAAAATACCTTTGGACTTTGCCAATGTTCCCTGGGGCCAGAACAAGTCTCCTGACATTAGATGAACCTCAGTGAGAAAATCAGCACTTCATTTTTGTATTGAAGCATTAATACCGGAGAATGTAACAGGAAAAAGGTGCACAATAGCATTCTGAACTTGTAATGTCTCTCAAACCACGTTCACGGGAAGGAGTCTATGATGAAGTAGGCTGCCTGCTCCCAAGTGTGTGGGGTAGGGGTCAAGGAGAGCACCCTAAGGGAAAGCCACACTGACCCCCGGAAGGCCCAGGGAAGCTCTGGACACGGCAGTGAGCGGGTGCTTGCTCAGTGTTGCCGAGAGCCCCTTCTTCTTGCACTCACCGACAGCTTTGCAGAAGCGGACAACAGCTCCCACACTGCTGGACCCTGCTGCTTTATCTCACTGGCCAGGACTCACAGTGCAGTTCACCTGCTGCCACCTAGCGAGGCTGCACAGTGATGACTGGTGGAGTGTGGCAGTGTCTGAAGACTGTTTCAAGGCTGAAGCAACCCAGGGGGCTCTATGCTTGAATGCCAGGGGGCTCTATGCTTGAATGCCAGGGTACAGGAGCCCTGAACACGTTGGCTTGCTCCCTTTCCTCCTGTGTTTGCTCCAAGTTGCATTCCTATTACTAACAACTTCACAAACATGGAGAAGCCTAATGCGCAGGTCAGAGGGACAGCACACAGGGATGTGGACACAATGGCAGGATAATTGCAGAGTATTTTCAAGAAGGTACAAAACAGGCCTGTGAGAAGGGGACCAGAATGTTCACTGAGTCCCCAGGAACATGCACCCCATTTGTCTCCAGTGCTGATGCTCTTGCTGCTGTTCTGCTGGTACAGGAAACAGTAGAGAAAGAACAGCAGCTGGAAGGAACACCACAGCCACATCTGACACGGAACTCACTGATAACAGACCATAGAATGACACTGCTCCTGAAGAGCACAACTCAAGCACAGCATCTATTTCTGCTATGTGACAGGAAAAGAAATGCTAATCATAGACAGTAGTTTCTCAGCACAGATTTAGAAAACTTGAGGGGGCAAAGCCTGTCCCTGAAACATCAAAACTGCATATGGGAACGTGGGAGCATGGCAAGAAAATAGATCCGCGGGAAGTGTAAAAGCAGTCTCCATACGGCCAGTGTGATGAAGATCCCAACTCTTAGTACCTCTTAGAAGCAGAAATTTTCAAGTTAAAAATCACACCATAGAAATTACAAAAAAAATCATCCACTTTTCTTAAATTTGTCACTATCTCGTTCTTGGGATCATTGATAGTATACCTAAATTATTTCTGTTTGCCAAGAACAAAAATGTGTAACACAAGGAGTAGGAGTTTGATGCAGCAATTAGGTTGATGCCTGGGGTAACCATAACCCATACGGAACAGAAAGGTTCAACTCCGTGCTCCACTTATGATCCAGCTCTCTGCTCACACACACCGTGGCATGCAGTGATGATGAGCCAAGTCAGTCAGTCCCCGCCCATGTGAGACATGGATCGAGTTCATGGTTCCGGGCCTTGACTCAGCTGAGCTCTTGCTGTTGTGAGGGCATTGGGGAGTGAAACAGCAGGTGGCATACTCCAGCACTCTTCAGTCAAATAAACAAATAATGCGCATTAAAAGAAAAAAAACATTTGAACTTAGCCTAAGCCCTCATGTATATGTATGTGCATATGTTACTCAAATGTTAAACTGATTTTTAATTAATTTTTACATTTTTATATTTGGAAGGCAAATTTTACAGGAAGGAAAGACTGAGATTAAGATCTTCTGTCCAAATGGCTGCAACAGGCAGAGCTCAGCTTCTCTGAGCTGAGTTTATCCGAAGCCAGAGGCCAGGAGCTTCTTCCAGGTCTCCCATACAGGTTTAGGGTCCCAAAGCTTTGGGTCATCCTCCATTTCCATTCCAGGCCACAAACATGTAGATGCATTGGAAGTGGAGCAGCTGGAACAAGAACTGATCCCCATAAGGGACACTTTGCATGATGTGTGCAAGCAAATGGTTAGCCAATTGAACCACCACACTGGTCCCTAAATCCATTTTTAATAAACAATTCTGGTTTCAGAGGATTTTCCTAATGTGGGGAAGGGACAGTAGATCAAGGAGGAGGCATAAAGACAAGTTAGAGGGAACCTGAGTGTTCTAGAATGATGCCAGAGCCTCTGATTGCGATGGTTACAGTGCAGTGGAAATGAAAAGTGAGAGTCTAAGCATATTTTAAACAGAGCAGCATTCGGCCTGACCTTGCACCCAGGTTGGTGTAAAGACAGAAGAGCTGGGTTCCAACAAGGAAGACTCCCTCCAACACAGCAAGGTACAATTTCACATCTTCAGTTTGCAGGGACACAGGAAGGACAAGGAGCTCATGCCCAATGCTCAAAACGTGAATGAACCAGTTCCCTGGTTTAATGCAAATGCAATTTTTTTTACCTGCAACAGTACAAACTGAAGGTATGAAGCAATAACACACACTTAGAAGAACTCCTTTACAACAAAATGGCAAGCATTTTTGTGTCGTGAACTCAAGGGTTTTACCATATAGTAACCTGCGACCTTTTAGGGATGCATTTTATAACCAACTCATGTGGGACAGTGAGTCTGGCCACTCTCATTAGGTCCACCAGCAAGCAGCACCCTCTCTTTCAGGCAGGAGCTCCACTGAATTACCACTATCAGGGTGACTTGATTATCTACATTTTTCAGTCTGAAGGCTGGCAAGTCCAAGGTCAGGGTGCTGGATTTGGGTCTGGTGCGGAGCTGCTTCCTGGTCTGCAGAGCCTTCTCCTTGTATTCTGACATTAGAGATGGCTCCAGAGAAAGCTCTGGTGTTTCTTCTGAAGCCATTAATTCCACTCACAAAGCCTCTTCCTTCATGACCTAATTACCTCTCAAAGACCCCATCTACTGAAACCATTAATTTGCGTATTAAATGTAATAACTGAAGTTTAGAGAAATATATTGTCCACATCATCAAATGACAAATCTGTTGTCTAGAAATACAGTGTAACCTAAGTCTGTTGGTGACAGTAAGTAGGCAGTTGTTTATACTTAGGTCCGTATTCCATTAGCCCTAAATATCATGAACCATTATTTGTCTAACTATTTACTTTGAAACATAGCAATTGCACCATGTTAGAATAAAAAATAATGATCTGTAAACGACTGCCTTAACATGCAGATAACAAACTCCTCTGGAATCTCAACTTTCATGCTTGCATCAAGACAAGACCTGAAAAGGCCAGGTACTTGGGATTTCAGTACCTTTTACGTTAAATGTTTGCTTTTACAAAACTGCCCTGCAACATTCCCACTGATCTCTCCTGTACCTCATGCATTTACCTCTAGGAACACGTACTGCCCTCTTACCTGACCCCCCTCACTTGGCAGAGGGGTGGAGGTACCGTGTGGGACACCACATTCCCTGGTGTACTGTCTGGATTTAAGTGTTAACTGCGTTGCTAAATCCAGCTTCCTGCTGAGGCATCAGGTACTGGTTCACATTCTTAGCTCACTGCTGCCCACACGGTGAGTCCCAAACTCGTGGCTTGGACTCAGCCAAGGCCCATCTGTTGCAGACATCTGGACAATGAACCACCTCTTTCAAAATAAAATGAAAATCTATAACATCTCTCCTAAAGCTCAAGATATAAATCTCACGTGCTGTCAAATCAAACCTTTCATTTTGATTTTATATAAAATGAAAAGAACTGTTTCTATCAGCTAAGTAAGTTAGCATATGTCCCAAAGTAGAGTCTTACAATCTGTTAAAACAATACAAAGATCAAATGTTTTCTGGGCCTGGTGTGGTAGCCTAGCGGCTAAAGTTCCCACCTTACACATGTCGGGATCCCATGTGGGCGCCAATTTTAACCCTGGCAGCTCTGCTTCCCATCCAGCTCCCTGCTTGTGGCCTGGGATTGCAGTTGAGGATAGCCCAAGGCCTTGGGACCCTACACCCACGTGGGAGACCCCGAAGAGGCTCCAGGCTCCTGGCTTTGGATCAGCTCAGCTCCAGCCACTGTGGCCACTTGGGGAGTGAGTAAGCAGCTGGAAGATCCTGTCTCTCCTCCTCTCTGTATATCTGCCTTTCAAATAAAATAAATAAATCTTAAAAAAAATCTTTCCAATAGTCACATCTACTATTTTATAAAACAACAGTAAGAATTCAAAGAACTATTTCAATGTGTAAAATGAAAATATTTAAATTTTCTTTTAAAAGAGGAATTATTTATTTGCTAGATAGCGACTGATCTTCCATCTGCTGGTTTCTTCCCCAACAGCAGGGGTTCTAACCAACAACCAGCTGGGTCTCCCATGTGGGTGGCAGGTATTCCCACAGCTGAGCCCCCCTCCTCAGGTGCATTAGCAGGGAGCTGGATCCAAAGTGGAACAGCCAGGCTGGAACTGATAATTAGAAAATGGATTGTAGCATCGCAAGTGGTGTCACAATGATGCTGGTCCCATTAAATATTCTTATATGAGAAAAATTACTGACAAACAGAATTAGAAATAATATGTACCTCTATGAATTTTATATCGCTTTATTTTTGCTCTAGAAATTTTGTCTTCACTAAAAACCTTTTAATCTAACAGTAACAGGTATATTCACTAAGACTTTGTATAAACAAATACTTTGAGTCTTTTTTCATGTTATTCCACATGAAACTGTTTATGATACAGAACATTCTCAACTAAATTGCTGATTTTAAAATAAGCAAAACATAAAACACAAAACTGTTCTCTTCCACAGGAAATGTTTTTATGGTGACATTATCCTTTCGTCATCTTCAGCATCAGTTCTGGGTGAACCAGGACGGCCGCTTCCTGTCCCGTTCAATGAGCCTCTTGCCCTGATGTGCTTCTGACGGCGTCTCTCCTGCGTACAGCACCACGGTCTCGACAGTGGGGGCCTTCAGGGGGCCCCCTTCCAACTTGCCCATCTGCCGCCTGATGGCTGCCGTCTCCTGGCGCACTTTCTCATAGCAATAGCCACAAAGGACGTGCTTCTGTTTCAGATGACCACATTCGGGACAAACGTCTATATTGTTCTTCAGAACAACAAAGACAGACATGTATTAACAACAGGCGAATAGGGAACATAAATCATTACTGGAGGAATGCTTACACTTTACCTTCCTTACACTCTTCATGGTACACGAGGTCAAATATCACCTAGCTCATGCTTGTTGACACAGAAACTGTCACAAGAGGCTACAGGTGTAAATTCAGCGGGAGACTTCAGGAAGAAGCCCAACCACAAAAACCAACATGTATTACCTTCACTTTAATAAGCTTGTGAGGGTTTCTTCTCCTACAGCGGTTGACTTCAATACTGCGCCTGTTTTTGGGAGCTGCCATCCAAACGAGGCTGTCCAAAAGGCTGGGACTCTTCTCTTCATTGACATCATTTGGCTCTGTGTAGATGGCCGGCCCCTGCACTGCTAGAGCTGGTTCTGTAAGACACCAAGACATGGAATCAGCTTCTAGCACTTCCTAAATGGCCTTTCCTTCTTTTTCCAATTTTAGGCAGTTACAGACAGGCAGAGAGAAGTCTTCCATCCGCTGGTTCACTCCCCAAATAGCGGCTGCAGCCAGCCAAGCCAGGCTAAGGCTAGGCGCTTCATCGGGGTGTCTCACGTGGGTGCAGGGGCCATCTTCCTCTGCTTTTCCAGGCGTGTCAGCAACAAGCTGGATCCGAAGTGCAGCAGCAGCTAGGACTCAAGCCCACAAGGAGTGTGGGGGTTGCAGAGGGCACCCAACCCACTTATGCCAAAGCCCTGTTCCTTTCGGCAGATTCTTTATAGAGCTCAATCTCCTTCACAATTAATGTCCAGACACACACACATGCGAACATATAATTTAGAATGTTCACTTTCAATGTACATTTAATAGCAAACCTCTGCCATTATAATTTATAGATATCATAACCAGAGATAAGGTTACACCCTGATAAACACATTCTGGGTTAAAAATACAGTAAGTCAAAAATATATCTAATATACTCAGGTACAATATCCTGCCTTAGCAACATAGTACACTAATAGAATTGACCCTGCTGATGCCAAGGCCAGCTGACAGCTGGAGGCACTGGTGCTGCCGCCCAGTGGCACCAAAAGTGTTACACTGGGGGAACAAAATCCCCATTAAAAATCCCAACTACCACTTCTACTGAATGTTTATTGCTTTTGTGCCACTGTAACTCTGGAAAAAAAAAAAAAAACCCTGTAAGCTGAACTATCGTTAGTTGGGGACTTTCGGCATTAAAGCATGTACAGAGGGTAATTTTAAGAACACACACACACAAAAGAACACAAAGAAATCATTTTTAATGGAAAGTGCTGAAACAAAACCATCGCAATTTTATCTGGAGTTTCTCACTTCACGCAACAGAAACTTCAGGGACTTTGTGGTAAGCGTGTATAAAAGTCTGACACGTGCCAATGCTGCATAATACAAACAAAAAATACCCGGCAAGTCTCCACACTGTACGCGGGGGAGTGTGATGTGTAAGTTCATGTAAGGCTGCTATTCGAGAAATGCAATTCTCACCAAATCACCCCCTACTGACTTCTTATACTGTTTTTTCACTGAGTTAATTGCTTTACCGGAAAATCTGGCAGACCCTCAAACCCCCGAACTCTGCTGGCATTTGTTTTTCCTAGACAACGCCACACATCCCCCGGGGGCTATGCACGTTTCCGTTTTTGCTACATACACGGGGCACGGGCTACCTCTCCCATCTACACACACACACACACACACACCGCCCCATACGCAGGCACACTTTGTATCTTCACTGCTCTGAGTCTTGGTAAGCCACTGTCCTCGGCTCTCTCTCGCTTTCCATTTAAAACTCTCCCATCTACACACACACACACACACACACACACACACACACACACACACACACACACACACACACACACACACACACACACACACCGCCCCATACGCAGGCACACTTTGTATCTTCACTGCTCTGAGTCTTGGTAAGCCACTGTCCTCGGCTCTCTCTCGCTTTCCATTTAAAACGCCCCAGCCTAATGGGGTCCGCAGTGAACGGAATAAAGCCTGCTAGCGAAGGCGCCTCGGCAACCCTGTGCAACGACGAGACCGCTACAAAGGTGGTGGTCAGGTGAGTAACGCCAACTGTCTGCCCGTGACGGGTGTGAACGCGGTGCGCCAAGATGCCGGGCACCCCTCCCCGCCCACCTCTCCTAGACCTACCCCAAGAAACGCTGGGGAAGCCTGGGCGGCCCCACTGAAGCTTCCGCCAGACTCGCTCCCAACAGTTTCGGAGCAGCCCGCCGGCCACCGGCCAAGAGTGAACCATTACAACCAGCACAGGAGACGCCATCTTCGTCGCCGGAAGACGGAACACACGAGCGCCAGGTTTCTTCCGCCCTTATTTCAGGCATGCGCACAGACCTGGGGATCCGCTCCTACCGTGCGCCTAAAACTACAACACCCAGGATGCACCCGGAGCGGGGCCTCTGAGTCTCCTCCAATCAGAAAGAGAGAAGGGAAGGAGCGTGGAAGAGAAATGCAGGGGAATCGGCCTCAGCGCGCATGTGTCCAGATGTGCTTGGGTTGTCTGGGCAAAGATGGCGGAGCGCGGATACAGTTTTTCGCTGACTACATTCAGGTAGGCGAGGGGCCTGCGAGGTCTTAAGCGGGACGGAGCTTGTGGGACTCGGCCAGGCGTCACGTGGATGAGGCCCACGGTCGCTTCTGTGTTGGTGCTTCCAGCGGATCCGGCTGGCGGTGGACGTGGGAAGGCCGCTTTGCCCAGTCATTTGACGGGCCAGCCGGAGGGAGGCCTGGAGAGCAGCGGCCCCGGGGGCAGCGGGACGCGGGCCTGGGGCTTCGGGGCGAACGGGAGGCTACGGGACGACGAGGTCCTTGGCCGGAGACTCACTTTTTCCTCGGAACCTAGAAAAGGGCGGGTTAGCTGTCCCCAGATGACCGCTGCGGGACTGGAAGGAGGCCTGATGTTGGGGCTGCTGAAGCTTGGGGTGCGGGTCAGATCCGCGGAGCCTCGAGCCTCCTGTTTGTAGGGAAGCCTCAGCTTTAGGGTTAGGTCGGAGTCCTGGCTTCCTTGTGGCCCTAGTGTCGGAAGACCAGCTTTCGGTTTCGGTAGTACCGGCTTGCCGACGCGGAAAGACCGAGAAAAGTCTGCTGTTCTCCAGGCCCTACAGTACGGCTCATAAGGAGCCGTTCTACTTTATGTTGGGGGGACAGGGAATGTTTAGAACGAGTAAAAAAAGTAAGCCTATTTTTTTCAAAATACAGTGGCAGGTAACCCGTCATCTTAAGGTAAGAACAGCATCACCGGAGAATTTAAAACATGGCCTGGTCGAGGATTCCGATTTAAAGCTTTGCTGAATGTTGGTATTGTCCACCCGTTGGGTGCCAGAAGGCCTGTGGGATCTTACATATTGAATACTTTCTGTACAGATGAACCTAACCTGCCCCGTCTTCCATGACCACAAATGACTGGTAACCCAACCTGTCACGGTGAGCTAATCGTGGCTTGGACAGATTCAGTAACTTGTCTAAAATCACCCTGGAGCGGCTAAGCTGACATTTTAAACCCTCTTCTTTGTGATGATAGATTGATTCTGGCACTGTCTATCCCGAGGAACTGTGGGGCACAATGAAATTAATATTCCGCAGGTTACCAAAAACAAATTATTACATAGCCTCAGTTAAAAAAAAACATATAAAGTAGGTATATTTGGATTTTAAAAGAAACAAATGCAATGGAAAGTGCATGAGAGTACTTTGAAAATTCATGCAAAAGTGGAGTTAAAAGATGATTTATTTTGATGCTTATCAATAGAAATCTGTGTGCAGTTTTTTCATAATATGTGTTTCCCGTGAACTTCTTTGAAGCACCAGTGTATTCAACACATTGACTAATTTCAGTTTCAATGCCTGTGGTCACTTCTTACTTTGGGAATTCAGAAAGTTGAAAGAAATGTACATGACAAAACTTTTTTGCAAGTAATCCTGGAGTACTCTGCCATGGTAGGCCTGTGGTGCAGACCCTTGTGAGCCAACATAGTTTTGGTTTCCTTGAACCAAGAGGTTGTTACAGGAGTCCGTGGGAGTGACAGGGAGGGAGCCTTGGTGGGGGTGGGAGGAAGGGTGAGAAAGGGGAAAGCTAGTGAGGATCTCCACTTTATCCCAGGAGAGTTGCAGGCAAGGTTAGCGGCATTGCTGAATACAGAGATGGTTGGCTGCTCAGTAGGCTCATATGAGTGATAGTTAACGCAAAAAATTCAGTGAAGTACAGTCTACGGGGAGAGTCTTTTAAATGTTTTCCCAGAGGTGTGTGAACTAAGTGTTGAACAAAAATTGAAAGCTTGATAGACCCAGAAAGCCTTGTGACAAATACTGAACTAGCGGCATTAAAGGAAAACAAAATGTTCAGCCAGAGAGGAAGCTCGGGACACCACAGTCGGGAGTTCGTGCTAATCTTCTCTGAAGAGTCAGGCAGCTTCCCTGGGGACATGGCATTTCTACAAAGAATGGAAAGGTGATCTTGAGTATACCAGGCAACAGGCAGGTGTGTTCCAGACAGTATGGGCTTGACCACGGGGATCTGAGGTTTAAGAATGTCTGTGTGTCTTCAATCAAGTAGGGTGGCCAGAGTTGGGACTTCAGTGACAAAGGAAAGGTTCTAATTGTGTGAGGATGAGGCTGGTGGCCCCTGGAGAATTAAGGTCACCCTTTCAGTGGTAGGCAGCCGATAGGGACCTAGCTGTGTCACTCTAGAGAAATTGCTTTCACATAGACTTTTTGTTTATAAAGTAAGAATTCTGGCTTGTGATGTTTATTATAACTACACCAAAAAGAAAAAAAACACACAGGAATATTTTTTAAATGAATGGAAACTTCATGACCCTTTGTTATAACCTGAAGAACTGTCTTTGTACATATGACCAGTTACTAGCTTCTAGAAATAGTTTAATATTGTACATAGATTGCTTTGTGGTAAGTGATCAGTGGGTCTCACATCTCAAGTTGTGTCTTTCTTCCTAAAAACTCCCTACAGGAAACATATGCCATTGCTTGGGTTTTAATAGATACCTTCCATACACATCACTTTGCTTAATCATTACAATACTTTAAGTAGGTAACTGCTGTAATCCTATTATTCCCATCTTATGAGAAATCAGACACAGAAAGCGGCAGTATCTTACACAAAGCCACAAGTTGGTAAATGATTCTAAGTGGCAGACACAATACAGAATCAGTTTCACGACGAATCTGCTTTGAACAACTTAATTTTAGATCTCAAATGCCAGCTCTTCAGTGGAAATTTCATCAGTAGATTTGAACTATCAATGCTCTGCAGTAAATATTTGAAAATAAGTGAATTTAACAAATTACCTGTGTTTCATTTTAAGCCCCTCTGGTAAACTTGTCCAGATTGAATATGCCTTGGCTGCTGTGGCTGGAGGAGCCCCTTCAGTGGGAATTAAAGGTAATTAAATGCTTTATTCATGTCAGATGCACTGTCACAGTTATTCTAAATTACTTTGTAATCAATTAGTTATTTATAAATAAACAGTTCTGGAAGCATACTTTAACCTAAATTCTTTTGGTTGAAGGATTTTAAAGTTTAAAGAGAATAACAGTAAGCCTAAGGAGGTGATTACAGTTCCTTTTCAAAGTGGATGTAACTCCTTTATTAGTTGGCATAACTCACAAATAGTCAGCCATTCAGAACCTGGTGTTTTGATTTGCACTGACTGTATCAATGCCCTAGCAGTTTGTATCTGCCCTGTAATTTAGAAAGTTAATTACAAAATTGCAAATTAATTAAATTTGTCCAAGATTGTATTTTTTTTTTAAGTATGACATTCATTTTAAAAAACATTAGGTCATGTAGACAGAAATCTGTTATTTTAAAACATGTGAATTCTGAAGTATCCTAGGGTACATCAAGAAAGACTGTGTAATACTGTTAGCTGTAAGGATACTGTTTGTGGACTCAGCATAAATAACCAATGAGGGTAACAATTGATTTACTATTCCTTAGATAATTTTGCTGTAGAAATTTGCACGTTTTGTAGATGAAATAAACAAAAGTATTTCGGTTTAATTAATGATCAGAAGACTCTTCAGCGTGTCCTTAAACGATTATGAACATTTGGGTTTTTTGTTTTTAAAGCTGCCAATGGAGTGGTGTTAGCAACAGAGAAGAAACAGAAATCCATTCTGTATGATGAGCGCAGTGTGCACAAGGTGGAGCCCATTACCAAGCACATTGGCTTGGTGTACAGCGGCATGGGCCCCGACTACAGGTACTGCAGGCCTGGGTCCTCGCCATCTCATGAATTGACTGCAAGTTGTATCTTAACGAGATAAATAAGGGATGCCTTCTTTAACTTGTCCACTTGGGCTTGTCATGTATTTTAGTCCTTGTTTAGCCACGGCTGCCTTATTGACAGCTGAGTTTGGTTCACGTGTGAATGATAGGGCTTAAACAGGGGAATGTGGTTGAAAGAGGAAATATGTCTCTTTAGTGGACTTTCTCTTTTGATTACTGTTGTTCTGTATGATCCATGAACTGGGCATAGAAGCCTTTTGAGTTTCCTAATATATTTTTAAATGATTAAAGCAATATATGTTATAATAAATTATATTTTTAAGTGTCAGGAAGTAAAGAAAAAAAAAAAGGAAAAGCAAAAGCAAACATCCCAATCTAGAGTTAATCTTGTTGCTTTATCTTTATTTCTCTATATCTTTAGCTATGGGATAGAAGTCTCCAGGCTTACTGAACATAGATAGCCGATTATTGCAGCTAAGAGCCTGGGTGCTCATATTGCCACACACCCTTTCTATTTCACAGGAAATCATAATAATCCTTTTACATCAGGGTTCCAGCATATTGAAAGACTGCTTTCTGTGTGTGTCACTGAACAACAGAAGGGGATCCGTGCTTGGGTCCTCATGGTTTTATGAGGCCATAGAGATAGAGCCAGGATTTCCCTGTGGTGAGTCAGAGCAGCAAGGTCACGGGTGTGAGCAGGCTTCTGTGAGGGCGGGTTTGGAGAGAGCTTGGTGCAAGGGCTGCTGTGCAGTGTGCTGCCAGGCAGGGAGTCGACCCGATGTCACACAGGTTGCCAGTTAACAGGACATGCATAGGTGTAGATAAAGTTATTTGTGCTATTATTTGCTATATAGTATATCCTAGATATCATTTGACATATTTGACTCTAAACTGATTGTTTCTTAGTCTTTGAAGTGTAGGTAGAAATGATGATAGCCTACAGAGAGGGCTGAGGCCGAGAAGGAAAATGCACAGAGTGTGTGACTGTTTACTGGGGGAGACACCAAGAGGGTGACTGGCTTTGGTTTGAGGGAGACCATCTTAGGGAGGCCAAGAAGGGAGTGGAAGCTCCTTTTTTCATTAAATGCTCATTCTGAGCTGACCTTTGCTTTCTTTTTTCACTTGTTGCTGTCAGTCCTCAGCTCCTCTCTGATACTGTGATCATTTTCTTCTAAATGAACAGAGAGATCAGAAGAGTAGACTGGCTTTGAGCTAGTAGTAATTACTGAAAGGAGGTGAGAGGAAGCTCCATTTTAATTCAGTCTCACTTCTTCCTTGTTAGAGTGCTTGTGCACAGAGCTCGGAAACTCGCCCAGCAGTACTATCTGGTTTACCAGGAACCCATCCCCACAGCTCAGCTGGTGCAGAGAGTGGCGTCGGTGATGCAGGAGTACACGCAGTCAGGGTGAGTGGTCCTTAGAACTGCAACTGTGGCAGGGAAGGAGAGAAACCACACTGGGGGAGCAGACCTGGTGTAGGACACTGACTTCACTGCAAGGGGTCTGTCACAGAGTTCATGCTGGGAAATAAATGAATGCATGGAAACAGTAAGATAAATGCTTCAGTTCCATTTGCTGTGAGCTTTTTGAAATGGACAGAAGCCATTATGTGGAATGTTTTCGATCTTCACCAAAGCAAGTATGTTTTAATCTGGAAAAAAGTGTTTATTTTCTTCTTCATATAACCACAAAAACAACTTCTCAGTTGACAAGGGCTTCTTTGTAAGTGTTGGAAACACATCCTCTTGGGCAGCCAGCGCTGGTGCTTGCACAGTTACCTTTCTAAGCAGAAGTGATTGAAAACACATGAAGAGAGCCGGACTCCGTCGCACCAAGTGTTCACGCTGGTGTTCTTTACCTAGCACCTTGGCACTGTAAGGTGGCTGCTCTAAGTTCATGGAAAAGCTGTGTTAGTTGAAAGTTGTCCCTTCATTAGGACTCTAGATGTTAGAACGTCTGTGTTAACTCCAGTGGTTTTGGGTGTCATGCCATTTCATCTAAAATTATTATTATTATTATTTTTAAAGATTTATTTTTATTACAAAGTCAGATATACAGAGAGGAGGAGAGATAGAAATATCTTCCGTCCAATGATTCACTCCCCAAGTGACCACAATGGCCGATGCTATGCTGATCTGAAGCCAGGATCCAGGAACTTCTTCCAAGTCTCCCACACGGGTGCAGAGTCCCAAGGCTTTGGGCTGTCCTCAACTGCTTTCCCAGGCCACAAGCAGGGAGCTGGATGAGAAGTGGAGCTGCCGGGATTAGAACCGGCGCCCATATGGGATCCCGGGGCGTTCAAGGTGAGGACTTTAGCCACTAGGCCACGCCGCCGGGCCCTAAAATTATTATTAAGACCTATTTATTTATTTGAAAGGTAGAGTTAGAGACCAAGGAAGATCTTCTAACACTGCTCCATTTTCCACATGGCCTGGGCCAGGCCAGGCTGAAGCCAAGACCCAGAACCGTTTGGGTCTCTGACGTGGTCCGGGAGTTTACAGGAAGTAAAGCAGCCAGCCATCAAACCAGCACGCACATGGGGTGCTGGCACTGCAGGCCAAGGCTTGGTCCACTGCCGGCCCTAAGATAAAATTACTTTGACTGGTCTTCACTACATAAAGAGAAGTTACTTTATTCATTCAGAGAGGTGTTAGGTTCATGTTAGGGAAGTTTTTAATTCAGTTGAATGTTTGCTGTCCTGTGAGTATTTATGACTTCTTAATTAAGGACAACTTTGACATCTTGACAAAGCTAAGTAATTTTCATTTTCCCTTGTGCAGCGGTGTTCGTCCTTTTGGAGTTTCTTTACTTATTTGTGGTTGGAACGAGGGACGACCATATTTATTTCAGTCAGATCCATCTGTAAGTATCATTAATGAATTGGAGGGATTTATTAAAAGTACTCTTGGAATATCTAATAAATATAAAAGCTATAAAAGCTTTAAGCAGTATTTTTTTTTTAATTTGGGCTTTAGAAAAGTATAAAGTACACGTTTATTTCCTCTAAAATAGATGGTGCTGTCTGTCTGAACCAGAGGTATTCACAGGGTGTGACAGAAGGGTGCTTCAAAAGTTCATGGAAACTTGGAACTACTGAGTTGTTAAATTCACCTGCTGCAAGTGTTTTGGGAAGTTTGACAGTGTTGTTATCTGGTCTCTGAGCTTCTAAAGCAGAATGACAAGCCCTGTTACCCTTTTTCCACTGGGCAGCAGACCAAAGACCAGCCATTGCTCCATTTTTCACTGTTAAATCTGAGAGACAACTGATTTATTTCAAAATATATTTGACATGTTCCCATGGGTATTTTTTCTATCAGCTTTTGTATCCTTCCCAACAGATAAGACTGTGTTATATGCAGCATTACTGCTACTCTCATTTGCCATGTTAAAACCATTGACTTACTAAGGAAAAGCTCTCTATTCACTAAAGAGGATGAGGAGTTGATCACTGTTTTGTAGATTCATATGACTGACTTTCAGATCCCTTCAGTTTATTAAGCTAACAAACTACTCTTACTTACTTTATGTTAAACTTCCTTTGACTGATTCATATAATTTCCGTATGGTAAATTCTGTCAGCAACAGCTCATCATCATTGGTTTGTTGAGTTTTGATGTGTTAACTGCCCCGGGAAGCCATCACCACAGTAAAGACGGATGTGTCTTCTGAAAGTTGGTTCATGTCTCGCTGTTACACATGCTGGTAATAGCCTTTCTAAAAAATCAGTTTTTAACGTCTTAAAATAGGATTGCTTTCTCTTTGTAATTAGGGAGCTTATTTTGCCTGGAAAGCCACAGCAATGGGAAAGAACTACGTGAATGGGAAAACTTTCCTTGAGAAGAGGTGAGCTCACTGTAGCTGGATACATTAGAAACTGACTTTACCGCGCTCAGCAGTCTTTAAACAGTATCATGGGCGTGAACAAAGGTGTACATTACTCTGTATTAGAAACCATTTGCAGAGAAAAGAGAGAACTCTCACCTGACTTTCTGGCCTGCAGCGCAGTAAATCATAATATTTCCTAGGGACATTTTCTGCATTCTTTTGCCTGTTTGCTAAATTTGGGGGAGGGAGGAGTTACTTTAGTTTTCCTGTGTTTCAAAAGTAAAACATGGACTTGGGAGTAAAAATTTTAAGAAGGAAAACTCAACTTGTTTAATGATAATAGTTTATATCATGACCGTAAAGACAAAAATTGGTGCAACCAACACGTTACTGAAGGCACTGCAATAGCTGCTTTCTGTGTAAACTCTCCATGCTGGAAAAGAAAAGCGAGCACTGCCGTTTTTATCTCTGTATTGAAGTATAACAAGGAATGTAAATGGAACCATAAGTCATGTTTTAATTCTGCAGATACAACGAAGATCTGGAACTTGAAGATGCTATTCATACAGCCATCTTAACCCTGAAGGTTAGCTCATTATCTAAGAATGGATTTATAATAGTTTTATAATTAACTGCTTAGAAAATGATCCCCTTTCATCCTTGTTCAATAGGAAAGCTTTGAAGGGCAAATGACAGAAGACAACATAGAAGTTGGCATCTGTAATGAAGCTGGATTCAGGAGGCTTACCCCAACCGAGGTTAAGGACTACCTGGCTGCCATAGCATAGCAGTGCAGTGACTGAACAATCGACAGTTTCACCTAATGGATGTACTTAAACATGTTTAAAGTATGTTTTGTTTTGCAGACTTTTTGCATACTTATTTCTACATGGTTTAATGGACTGATGTTTTTAAAATGACTATAAATGATAATAAACTGTTAAATCCAACTTCCAGCTTTTTAGAAGTTAGTAACATTTTAACCTAGTGATTGCTTTCATCGCTGCTGATTTTTGGAAAATGCTGCAAAACTGAATGATGAAATCCCTCTTTTTTCATGTAATTTCGCAAAATTGTCCTGCAGACTTTCATGAATTCCTGAGGAAGGATGCATAGGTGTTATTCAAGCACCATCTGCATGGTTGTAGTGGAGTTAGGAGCAGTGCTAAGCCAGTAAGTCCCCTGTCGGAGGTACATAAATAATTGTCTGCTGATTCGTGCTGGTTTTTCCCTCACAGGTAGGTAAACATGTCCAAGGAACCCCCCAGATCATGCTGAATCTTTTTAAGGATGACCTTAGATGATGAAAGTAGAATATGAGCACATAAGTGTCGGAACTTTGGCTTCCACCTCTCAACTCACCACAGTGATGCCGTTGTAAACAACCGCCATGTCAGTGAGGCCCGTGAAGCACACAGACTGGGCGCTGTAATGTTGCTTGCATAAGGAAGGCGTGGTGCTTGCTTTGTTTCTGCATTTCATTGTTAAAGTTGTGTCAGGATAAAAGAAATGTCCTTACTCTGGTTACTGCATGTAGGGAAAAATTTATGAATGTCATTATTTTTAAAAACATGAAGAGATGGTAGGTAATTAAGGGATTTAAATATAACTTGAAAGATTTTGCTTAAGATTCAGCTAAGTTGAGGGAAAAGGCTCCTTGTCTTGGCATTTTTGTCAAGATCCCGCTTACCATAACTATGAGACCCATACACGTTACGTGAGACGGGAGGCCGCACCAGTTCTCTCTGGAGAGGTCTGGAAGGCTGCCTCCCAGTCTGCCTGGGGTCTCGTTCCACTGGGACTGCAGCATGGAGCAAGCAGGCACAGCACTGACCAGGAGCGGCCTTGAGGCTGGGCCTCAGCTCTTCCGCTGGACGACATCAGTGCATTCCAGGACTCAATTTGCTAACATAGGTGACAGCTTTGGTGCGGTTAACGGATAGGGACTCTGTCGGCTGCTGCTAATTGCACAACCTCTGTTAATACTCACTATTAAAAAAAAGAAAAAGGGATTCCAGAATTTTACAAATTAAAGTCAAGTCATGTACATTTAAGACAGAAGGAAAGTGCATTTTGGTCTTACTGGAAACCAGCATAATCATGGGTACAGAGTAAAAGAAGGAAAAATTAGCTGGAATAGATTTTTGTCCTAGTTCTGGTCGCATTTGATGCAAAGCTTCCCTCCCAGTTGAAGCTGCTGCAACGTTTCTCCCTTGGTTCCCAAGTTACTCTTTCAGTCCTTAAAATTAAGCTGTTTCTATTCCAATTTTGGGGGAACTCATTTCTTTGCTCTAGCAACCCATCATATCCCTAAACATTCCCAACTTGTAAATCATTTTTAGCCTGCGGATTCTACCTTCTATTAATTTCAATTATCATACTACTCGTAATGTTCATGGCACCCCCCTGCTTTGGAGTATTTTCCTCCGTTTAAAACCCTTTGTCTCCACTTGTCCTTTGTGTTCCAAATAGCAGAGACATAACTATAGAATTCACACATATGGGGTAGGGAGCAGGAGAGAGAAGGCAGTGGGCAAGGAAAGGAGAAATCAAGAAGAGGACTAATACAGAATACAGAATAGAGTACGGAGCAGGGTCGTGCTGACAGCAGCAGGGAACACTACAGGAGTTGCCATCTAATAGAGTTTTAATAATTATCAAGTGCTGACACATTAGGCATTGATTACTACCAAGAGAACATCAAAGCAGTCTTCTCTGTTTGATCAGTAATTTTCCTGGAACAAAGTCACCAGGGCTCCGCGTTTCACTTTTATCAGGCGACTCCTTCTAGGCAAATGTTGAGTCTCCCTTTGTACAGGAGAACAAACTAAATTCCATGAATTACCCAAGAACGTAAAGGAGCTGCCGGCTCCATTGGCTTTCAGCTTTGTGGAGCTTTGTTTCTCCTAGAAAATTAGAATTCTCTATTTCCTGAAAACTAGTCGAAGGTCCTGTAATAATGGCCCCTTGCTTTGCCTGGTTCCTGTAACCTAGAACTGCTCTCTGCACCTGACCGCTGTGGACTCCAGGGGCAGCAGCTCCCCGGCAAGCAGGTGGGAACTGGTCCTGAGTCTCTCCCTGAATTAAAAAATGTAGGGTCATACGTTCTGGATTCCTGAGTAGTAACCATTATTTCAGCTTTGTGTTTTGTGATAGAATTTAAAACCCTTGGATCGCCCTTGCTTTATCTTTTCCTGCCTCAATTTAATCATGGTTAATTTCAGATTTTCTTGGAGGTTTGTAAATGTACCCTGACTATTCCCCAAATAATTTTCCCAGTGGTGACGTTGCCTGAGTTTTCTGTTAACTCTATTTTCTGTCTAGTGGTGACAAATTCTTGCCTGCTTGTCCCCAGAAAACCCCAAAAGCCTGCATGCTGCTTCCCTCATGGTCAGATAGGTGCCCTCTCACACGTGTCCCCCCAACATCTCTCTTTTCTGTTTGTTTCAATCTTTCTGTTTCAATCCAAGCTAGTTGCTTCTCTGCAACTTCTTCTCTCAACAGGCGGAGCCAGGGTAGCAATGAATTCATCTCCACATTTTCCTTCAGAATCCCCGTGTTGTTCCTGCAAGTGTATTATTTGCAGTGTTCTGAAATTTCACAAAGACTTACCTGTCTTTGTGTGCATTTCTGAACATTGTGTTCAGTAGGCTATTTCACTGTTAAAAACAACAAAAACAAACAGCAAAAAACTTTGGTGCCATGAAAAATTGTTGATTTTGTTTCTAAAACTCCTGATAGTAGACTCTTATTTCTGCACTATTTTCATGCTTTTATTTTACCCTTAGTAGAATTCTTATTTTCTATTGGTGTTTGACAACTTGAGAGTTTTACTTTCAAAACATTGTTTCCTATGATGTGCAATGCCTCTTTATATAAAGAAACTTTTCAGGACTAGTGTTGTGGCATAGCGGGTAAAGCTGCCACCTGTGACATCAGCATAACATGTGGGCGCTGGCTCATGAGTCCCAGCTGCTCCACTTGGAATCCAGCTCTGCGCTCGAGGTCTGTAAGAAGCAGAAGATGATTGCCCAAGTGCCTGGGCCCCTGCGGGAGACCTGGCTGAAGCTCCTGACTCCTGGCTTCTGCCTGCCTTAGTCGTTGTGGCCATCTGCGGAGGGACCCAGTGGATGAAAGATTCTCTAATGGGCTTTCAAAATAAGTAAATCTTAAAAAAAATTTTTTTTTTGCTCTCTGGCCAAAATAAAGTCTACTTACCATGCTACATGTAAATCACTTTTTAATACCATTTTGTTCTGCTTTCTGTTTCTTTCGAAATTGAAACAAAAGTGTGGAGAAGTGAGTGGGGCTGCTACCCACTTACCACATGATGCTGAAAATCCGATTTCTCCAGGTTGCTCCATTTGCCCAAGTTTCAGGGTGGGAGTGGCAGGCGCTGCCAGTCCTCTGGGTGGCACAGCCAATGAAAGTCACCATTCAATAGGAAAACTTCGGTTTTCTCTTGGAGTCTGCAATCCCAGATGCCTCTTGCAGAGTATTACAAATCCTGGTTTGTGCCTGGAGAGGAAGTGGGGGGATGTGTGGCCCCTTAGCTGCCTTCCCACAACCCCCAGTTAGCAGCCCGCTTCTGCTGCTGGCTGCCTCCAGGTCCCATCCTCCCCAGGCCTTGTCCAGCGTCTGCCCTGAGTGCTTTAATGAGTGTCCCCCTTCTGCAGGCAGTGTTACTGCTGCTACCTTCATGCCTAGAGGCTGTCTGGGTCCCAGGGTGCACTGGGGCTCACCTACCTACATCCTTTTGGGTTAAGAGAACTGAGTAACCTGTAGAACACTTGGCCACGTGGTAAGCAATGAAGACGCACTTAATGCTTCCTGGCCTTGGGGGCGGGGAAAAGCCCCAGTGTATTCTTTAACTGTAGTTACCTCTCTTACTCAGCTTCCTATTCTGCACCGTGATATAAAGTACGCTTTGCAGGAGCGGGATGGACAGGGTTTTAACTGAAAGTCACTCAGTGCTTAAAGTGATCCGGACTTTCTGAAAGCCTTGGCCTTTACTGGTGACTGAACACTGCTAGACTAATCTAAGCATTCCAGCTCTTAGAGGACACCCAGTCATTTCTCCTGAGTAAACAGCACATTTGTGTAAAAGCCTTACTTCCTACAGTGCAGTGCAAAGTGCCTCCGAATATAATTCGCATGCTTCCTCTCGTTAAAAATGAGCCCTAAACACCCGGGCCCCTTAGGAGATGCAGCCCCACCTGCTCCGCCTCCTCTGCTTGCCTAGGGTCAGGTTGCCCAGCCGCGTCCGGTAGCGCCACCAGCAGAAACGGTGCCCTCAACAAACATGGCCGCCGCGCTAGCGTCAGCGCCGCTTGGGTGGCCGCGCTGCCGCCTGGGAATAGCGGGCTCGGCGTCACCCGGCCCGGAACCGCGTGACGCGGGCCGGGCCCGAGGCTGTGGGGAGCGCGCGGGCGGAGCTCCGCGGCGCCGAGTGAGGTGGGGGCTGCCCGGGTGAGGCCGGTCCCGGCCTTGGCGTGCACGCTTCCGCCAGCTCGCGGCCCGGGGCACGGCTGGTGAGGAGCTGGGGTGGACCGCGGGCTGGTGAGACGGGGGGTGGAGGGTGTTGAGCCGGGCCGCCTGCGGGAGGGGGAGGGGGCCGCGCGCAGTCCCCCGCCAAGTCCGGGCGCCGGCAGGGGGCCCGTGTGACGTGTGCCAGCTGTGCAGGTGGACTGGCAGGACCTGAGGACCCAGTGCCCCTTGGCCCCCGGAGACCCCGACACCCTGGGTCCCGCCCACCTCTCTGCGCCCCCCTGCCCCGCCGCTGCGGGGCGCACCCTGGAGCGCAGCGCTTGGCAGGGCTTTTCCTTCCAGCGGAGCTGGTGGCAAGCTGGTGGTCCCTTTCAGTCTTCTACGTGCCGGATTGACGTCAGAGGCAAAAATCCGACAGTCTGGAGCCCTTGGCGTAAGTACCCTGTACCCCAGGGGCAGTAACGAAGCAGCCCATTAAAGACTTACCCTGCAGGAGGAGAAGGTGAGGGAGGCCAAGTGTGGTCAGTTCAGCCAGACGTTCTTGCTTCGCAGCTTGTTAACCAGCTTGTCGGTGTGGGCTGTTTACATTTTAAGCATTTTACCTTGAATTTCTAAACCTAAACCTTTGTGCAGATTCTGTACTAGGAAACTTTGGACAAGAGTGAATTCTCACAAGGAGGACTTGTCCCACTCATTTTATCCTGACCTGGGACATACCCTGGACAGGACAGTCATGGTCCGACTTGTGTCCAAAGAAAAGTTTGAAGGTGTAGCCGATTTGCCCCAGCAGTCAGGAGGGGATCATTCCAAAAACCAGACAGAGGCCAGGTTCTTAGACTGAGCTTTCATAAGCTGTGATGTGAGATTGGGCATCTTCATTCTCCTTGAAGGATGGACGGCCACGTGTTGGACGGCTGCTGAGATCTGCCTTCTTTCTTTTCCTAGGAAAGGAATAATGCTGTGAGCATGTCTGCGCACTCCATGCTTTGTGAACGAATCGCCATAGCCAAGGAGCTGATCAAGAGGGCAGAGTCACTCTCTCGATCAAGAAAAGGCGGCATAGAAGGTGGAGCCAAGCTGTGCAGCAAGTTGAAGGCCGAGTTGAAATTCTTACAGAAAGTAGAAGCTGGCAAAGTTGCTATTAAAGAGTCCCACTTGCAGAGTACCAACCTCACACACCTGCGGGCCATCGTGGAATCGGCGGAAAACCTGGAAGAAGTTGTGAGCGTCCTTCATGTCTTTGGGTACACCGATCCTTTGGGAGAAAAGCAAACCCTGGTGGTGGATGTGGTCGCGAATGGCGGTCACACGTGGGTGAAGGCCATTGGCAGGAAGGCTGAAGCTCTGCATAACATCTGGCTGGGCAGGGGTCAGTATGGCGACAAAAGCATCATCGAGCAGGCGGAAGACTTTCTCCAAGCCAGTCACCAGCAGCCGGTGCAGTACAGCAAGCCTCACATCATCTTTGCATTTTACAACAGTGTCTCCAGCCCCATGGCAGAGAAGCTGAAGGAAATGGGCATATCGGTGAGAGGAGACATAGTGGCCGTCAACTCTCTGTTGGATCACCCAGAAGAGCTGCAAGCGAGTGAGAGTGAGTCAGACGACGAGGGGCCAGAACTCCTGCAGGTGACCAGGGTAGACCGAGAAAACATACTTGCAAGCATCGCGTTTCCCACCGAGATCAAGGTGGACGTGTGCAAGAGAGTGAATCTGGACATTACGACTTTAATCACCTACGTATCTGCCCTTAGCTATGGGGGTTGCCACTTCATCTTCAAAGAGAAAGTGCTCACAGAACAAGCAGAGCACGAGAGGAAAGAGCAGGTCCTGCCCCAGCTGCAGGCGTTCATGAAGGACAAGGAACTGTTTGCCTGTGAATCTGCAGTCAAGGATTTTCAGTCTATTTTAGATACTCTGGGAGGACCCGGGGAGAGAGAGAGGGCCACCATGCTGATTAAGCAGATTAATGTGGTCCCAGACCAGCCTTCCGAGCGTGCCTTGAAACTAGTGGCCAGTTCGAAGATTAATACCCGCTCATTAACCATTTTTGGGACGGGAGACACCCTAAAAGCCATTACAATGACTGCCAATAGTGGTTTTGTCAGAGCTGCAAACAATCAGGGGGTGAAATTCAGTGTATTTATCCATCAGCCCAGAGCACTTACCGAGAGTAAGGAGGCTCTAGCCACTCCTCTACCAAAAGAGCATAGCGCTGACAGTGAACACTAATGTCCTTCCCAGTGTTCTTGTGGAAATGAGTTACTAATACCAAAGGCTGGGTCTTTCCATCTAAAACGGGAAGAAAAGAGACCTATTGTGAAAATAATACCTAGAGCTTTGGAGCCAGTAGCGTTTTCTCGTGTGTATCACGTGTATTTGAGAGCCTATGTCCTCAAACAGTAGGGAAGCACAGTGACAGCCTTATTACTCAAAATCGATATCCTAGCAGTTTAGAGAAGGTACGGCTTGTGGCTGTCTAAGTACACTGCTGTGTGTGCTGCTACCCCCCTCCTGGTCATCACACTTCATAAAGTATGGCTACCCTGCATCTTGCATTACATGTCTAGAGAAAATTCTCATGGCTGTTTTTCACTGTATTGGTTTATTAGTTAATATAAGTTGAGACTGGGAGATAATAGTCAATACTTCATTTTAGATTCCAAAGCCAATGGCCATTACTACTAAAAATGGAGTGAGTGCCATGTGTCAGCATAGAGTGTTGGGTATATTTACGAAAGTTGATACTACAGAAAAATGGAAATAAAGTGCATTTTGAACATATAAGTGTCATGAATCTATCGACAAACTTGTGAACTTCCAGCAGGTGTGTGGAGGAGGCCGAGTGGTTATTGGGGTCCATGAGCACTGAGGATGCAATGAATACAAGATGAGTTGTTGGGGTACTTCTCTAGGGAGACATCTCTTAATGAGTCAGAACAAATATGCAAAGATTAGGCTTCCAATTTTCATACAGAGATGTATTGTTTATTACCTGAAATTGAATGTGGGCTTTTTGAGCACCTGTTCAGGTAATGAAGTACTTGGTATTAGTAAGTAACAAACACAGTTTGGTATGAAAAGAGGGATAATTGCTGTTTCAGGAATTTTTAGTCTGACGTGCAAGTGTGATCTGTGTACTCAACTATAAATTACTTCTTAAATACTGTGGGGACAGCAAGGGGGGCACTTGTGCCCTGGAGTCAGGACATCAGAAAACAGAAAAGCAGCAAGTTTAAGGGTTTCATGAGATTTTTTTTTTTAAAGATGAATTTTCTTGAAAATCAGATACACAGGAGGAGAGACAGGAAGATCTGTCCATTGATTCACTCCCCAAGTGGCTGCAACGGCTGGAGCTGCACCAGTCCGAAGCCAGGAGGTCACCGGGATCAGAACCAGCGCCCATATGAGATCCTGGCACGTGCAAGGCAAGGACCTTAGCCGCTAGGCTACTGCGTTAGGCCTGGGTTTGAAAGATTTCATAAGGCATGTGAGTGAGAAAGGGAGCTGCGAAGGACGAGGTGTGTGAACGTGAGGTGCCTGTCAGGGCAGACTGCAGCAGTTTATAAAGGTAGAGAAATAATTGAGTTTGTAAGAGGGCTGCTGGAAAGCCATTAATTTTAAACAAGGGTATGTTCATGAGCAAGGCTTTTTTTGTAAAAGCAACAAAAGTCAGTGGAAGGAAGGGAAGACGAGACTGAGGGTCTTGTCTAGAGCACTAAGATGGAATAAAAAATATACACGGGGTGGCCCTTCAAAACAAGTTGGTGAAAAACAAAACGTTTATTTTAATGCAAAAAAAAATTCCATGCAAGTTTTTCATAATCTGCATTTTCTATGCAGTTTTTGAAGATCTTTGAATGTGCATTCATTCACTTAACATTGAGTATCATGTGCCAGGCAGGAAGGGCTGGACGTGAGCTGCTCCTCACGGCTGGCAGGAAGATGGTTGGTTTCTACTGTGCCCTGTGAACCTAGGAATTTGGACTCTGCTGTGAAGTGGAAGGCCGTGACACTGAGAAAACTGCTTTCTGAAATCGCCAAAGACCATTTTTTAAAATGCACAGTGACTATATTAATGATGTGATAAATAATGCAAGCCATCAATGTAGGTAAGCCAGGGGATAGGTGCACTTGGCCCAAAAATTGAACAAATAGTACATTGTCTAAAAACCACACGCAGAGTCAATTATGCCATGCCCTGAAAACCTGCAGCCCTCATAAATAGCAGTTGATAAAGACAAGAAATAATGAAATAAGAAAGGGAAGGTAGGAGAAGAGTGCCTATTTTAAACCATGTGTGAGATTATCATGTAACTATCCAGCCAAGCAAATGTCCCAGATAGTGCCAGAAGTGAGGAAGCAGCAAGTTGCTTCTTGTGGACGGAGATTTAGGAGTGGCTGGGGAATGCATACGTGCTGCCGAAGCGAGCACTGTGCCTGGGGACTGTAAACATGCTGAACATTCAGCTCTCACCTGACATAGAAGGGACTCAAGAGCAACTTTGCTATTTTACCATGGACACACAGAACGGTAATATTTTTGGCGTCAAATAGATAATGTATCTTAGTATAAATTAAGTCAGGTTGAATAGATTCCAAATAAAGGGACAGGAAGGCAAATAAACAGTGCATTGGACAAAAGACATAGGCAATATTGAAACACGATCTTAGGAAATGTGAACTAGAATTTCAGAAATAGAAAAATAAGCATTAGAAATAAACTACTTTGAGCCCAGCATGGTAGCCTAGTGGCTAAAGTCCTCACCTTGCATGCACCGGGATCCCATATGGGTGTCAGTTCATATCCCAGCAACCCCGCTTCCCATCCAGCTCCCTGTTTGTGGCCTGGAAAGCAGTCGAGGATGGCCCAAATCCTTAGGACCCCGCACCCACGTGGGAGACTTGGAAGAGGCTCTTCGCTCCTGACTTCAAATCAGTTCAGCTCCAGTCCAGCCGTTGCAGTCACTTGGGGAGTGAATCATCGAATGGAAGATCTTCCTCTATGTTCTTCTGCCTATCTGACTTTGCAATAAAAATAAATAAATCTTTTTAAAAAAGAAACTAGTTAAAAATTATCTCAAAAATGATCAATTAACTTCATTGGACATTTTTCTTTTACATATCAAATAATCTTGCTGTAATAAATAATGGGGAACACAATACCCTAAATGGGGTTGAAATATTTTACATGATCAGATGTGCCAACCACTTATTCTTTCTCCCTCTCCTCCACCATAAAGATGAGAATTGTGGTCTGTCCTGCTAGAAAACAAGGCCTGGGCAAGAAAGAAGGCATCATAAACAGGCAACAGCAGGATTTCAGGTTAAGATGTCCACATAAACATTTCAGCTAAATGACATTGCAGATAAAATGGATTCCAAGCAGAGAGCATTTCAAAGTATGGGAATCTTGTCTTCAGAAAGAAAAACATCAGAGATGAATCCTTTGTCGTAATAGCAAGGACGTGGGGATTAGCAACCATGAGTAAACGCCACTGCATCAAGCCAGGACCTTTGAACTGCTGCAGCCTCCATTGTTGATCAAAATAAACAGGCTCTGTAAAAATGCTTGGGAGGTTCATTCAGAGCAGAATATACCGCTTCTCGGCCTTTTGGCTAAGATCAAGTGCGGCATAGGAGTGACCTCGCCTGGGAGACACAAGGCCAGTGGCTTCCGGTGAGTCTTGGGAAGTGTTCTACATGGGTCAGATTCTGGCCCAGCTTTAGAAATCCCAGGCCAGTATATTTTCATTTCTCATTTTACAGTGACCATACCTTGGTTTAAGCTATAGAAATGAGGCTTCAGTAAGTAAGGGTGGATTTCTTACAGGTTGGAGACTACTGTTTTTAGAGCCTGATTAGTTAGAAACATCGTTAGAGCCAGAAAATGCTGAAAAAGAAGGCTGATGATTAATTTTAAAGATATGTTTGGGAACAAAAAAGGAATGTATAAGTAATGGATGATGGATAAATTATGGTCCATCTGGCTGAGACCAAACAGGCACATGGCCCAGGTCATGTTGACCTGGTAGGTTAGAGGAATAACTAGTCCTTCAAGTTGTGGCTACTTGAGGAATGAACCAGAGGATGGAAGATCTTTCTTTCTGTATCTCCTGCTCTGTATATCTGCCTTTCCAATTAAAAAAAAATAACATAAATCTTTGAAAACAAATAAATAAAGCGCATTGTTTGTTTCCTGGTACCTGAGAAATTGTACCAACGGTGGTTTCTATTTGTCAAAATAGAACATGTTACTTACAGTGGTTTTTTTTGTGTTTTCTTTTTCAGCTTATTTATGTAAAAGGTGGAGTTATAGAGGAACAGAAACAGAGAAAGATCTTCCATCCACTGGTTTACTCTCCAATTAGCTAGGACAGTTAGAGCTGGGCCAGGCCATAGCCTGGAATTCCATTTGGGTCTCTCATGGGTGGCAGTGACTTGGTCCATCTCCTGCCTCCACAGGCACATTAGCAGGAAGTTGGATCAGATGCGGAGCAGCTAGGACTCAGATCAGCACTCCTGTTCAGATGCCAGCATCAACGGCTGTGAACACCTTAAATACGGTGGGCAGAAAATGAAGTATTGCAGGTCAGTGCCCGTTTAAATGTTTAAGTACTGTGTCTGTTAGCGGTTTTTCCTTAAAACGCCTTCATCTGAAAACACTTGCTTTACTGAAAGACTCATGGTGAATAGGTTATAAAGAGTCCAGTTCTAATTTGAGGTGCTGAGCCTGCAATTAGAGATGCTAGATGTAAGAGGCAGGGATTGCTTACAAGAGGCTAATAACTCCTACTGTGCCTTCTTGATAAGGTCTGCGACTTGGTACCTGGGCTGCCTTCTGATAAGGCACCATCAGCCATGTCCCTGGAAGTCTCTCAAAGGCAGCCTGCAGACACTCCCTGGTTCTGGGTGGATTCTCCTGGGCTAGCAAGTTGGGTTTTTTGTGAACACTCCCTGGTTTTAATGAACTTGATTAACAAAGCCTTTGCCTGGCTTCTGTACCATGACCCCAGGGGCTGCTGGGATGGCTGACTAGTAAAACAGAAATGAGAAATTGAGGCATTGCTGAAGAAACAAACTTTTCCATGTTAAAATGTACGGATTGGGTCACTTTCTTTCAAGCATGTGAGAATTTAATTTGCTTTCAACTATTTGGCTAGGATTGTGCCAATATTCTGATCTTAGAATTCAGGGTTTTTTGGGGTTTTTTTGTTTGTTTGTTTTTTCCTTTTCGCCTCCTAGACCTGGATGGACCTACTACTTTTGATTTCTATTGGCCAACAAAACCAGGAATTTTAATTTAGTTGAATTGTTCGCCATTTTCCCACCCAATTTTTTTAGCTTTAGTGGAAGACTTCTAACTCTTCCCTTGCTTTGCACTGATTCAAGATACAACCAGAAAAAGAACCTACAGGATATCAGATGCTGGAATTGCTAAGCACAGGCAGTAACCCTTTTTCTTCCTAGTTACACTGGCAAACTTGTCTCTCTTTAATATTAAAGGCTATTATTTTATTATTACATTGCATAAAGTTACTCAATGCAGTCTATAAAATTATTGGCTGTTACTGTAGTTCTGGGAAAATATTATTGAAGCTATTAGTTGATTATTCAGCACACATAAAAAGCCAAATTAAAAAGAATTATCAAACACTGCTAGTTTTACTTTGTAACACCAACGCGTTACCAAATACCAGGTTAGCAGGTTTGGCCTCCTGAGTACCACAGTACTAAGCTAAATGTAATAAATAACACATATGAATATGTTTCAAGAAATCATG